GTGCCCGTGTATGCCTGGCATGTGTAACAATATTAATAGTCTTGCCTATCAGGTAAAAAAAGGTTGAATATCGGATGAACTCAACTTTAGTGTAGAAATGGGCACTCACAATATTGTGAAGGATGTTTCTGATATGGAGAGTTTCTTTTTCTTTCTGAAAGTTTGGGTGGATGTAAAAGAGGCCAGCAGGAGTTTTGTCAAAGTGATTTCAAACTTAGGAAAGAATCAATAGTGAAAAACCTTTCACATGAATTTAGGAGCTATAAGGAGGTATTCAGAGAAGATAAAGGAGCTCTGAGAGACATGGAGGAAATGGGAAACTGTGCAGTTGTTTCTGATGCCACACCTTACACAGGGGAACTAGAGGAAGCCGTTTGTACTCTAAATAAACCTGGCTTTGATTGGATGAAAGAAGCTGCTTAAATGAGCCATGCTTTACAGGAGCTCTATCAAAGGCTCAGGATGTGTTAGTCTGTGTTGTTAATATTTATCTTGCAGCTGTATAAGTCAGCCATTCCAATGAAAAGTCAGAATCCCACTGAGAGAGAAATGGTACAACTGAAGAAGTGTGGAATTTTTTTGACTAACGATCAAGGAATACATCTGATTGCATAGTGACAACTTTAAGATCAGTCTGTAAAACATCTCTGAAGATGATGCTCAAAGCAGTCTTGAGTGATGTTCATTCTGAAAATAAAAAGAAATCAGGAAGTCTTTGTGCTGTGCAAAGCATTTCAGTGTTACACTGGGGTAGGGGGAAGTTTGAACATTTCATTTCTTACAAAACTGACTTTGTTATGCACTTGCAATTGTTTTCCTGCTGTGTTGTGAGACCAAAATGCAGCTGTTCTCAATAATGGCCATTTACAGTTACGTCTATTTTGCTCTGATGTCATTGTAATGGAAAAATGTGGATAAGTGATGTTTTGCAATATCGTCTTCTGCAGGAGGGAGACGATTGCTTCTATGTGCCCTGCTTGTGGGTTTGCTGCATCCATGGAAGTCTTACAGAAGTCCAATAGGAGCACGAGCTATGGGTGTTTCATTCCTTTGCTTTTAAAGAAAGAAGTTGTCATTTGTTTTCTTTAGAGGAAGAGAAGCAAAGACAACAGCTCATTTGTTGGTGAATGTACATGGTTTAAAAGTAAATTAGAAAGCCTTCTGGAAATAAAAACTTCTGTGTGCGTAGACAGCATGTTTAGGTAAAAAGTGAAAGGGAAAAAGTGAAGTTAAAGCCACTGCTCCGAACACTTTCCTAAAGTCTTAGACATGTCAGTCCCTCGCTGTGTTCCTCTAATTCCACATATGAATCAAGTACAGGACTGCTAAACATGTAATGCGATGCTATTATATAGATAATGGTCCTATCCAGTGTGTAAGGGAGAAGAAATTAGAGTGAAATCTTAGCTTCATCTTAATAGGAAATTATTTTGAGGTGCTTAATTCATCTGTGTCTGCCTTTTGGAGCTTCAACTACAAGAGAGTAAGAAAAGTGAAAGGGCTGAGGGACGGAGGTGGTGTGGTATGATATGCTAAAGAAGCAGAGTAATAAAGACATTAAAGCATGTACAGACTCATAAATTTGGGGTTTTAGATTACCTTTTGAATTGTCTTTATCTTTTCTATCAAACAGCTTTCTCACATTAATTCTTGACACTGACCTTTCTGTTATTCATTTTTGGGCTTCATGCTGGGTTGGACCATCATACCAATTGCTTCTAGCTTTGCTGGTGATTACGAAAGTGAGATTTTTCAGGGTCTTATTTTGCAAATTCAAGAACTAAGAGTCATCACCTGTGTCCTGTTCAGTTGTGGAAGTGAAGTCTGTTGCTCTGGAGATAAAGCTGTCTGACCCTTTGCCATCAATTCTGGACAAAAGCCATGAACCTTTGACACTTAAAATACTGCTGAACTCATAGGGACTTTGTGTCACTACAGTAGAAGGGTAATAATCTAATGATTATTCTGTGTTTTCATTGGACTAGTTAAAAAAAATAACTTGTCCTTATAGCACTGATTTATAACATCTGATTCTTAAAGGTCAGAGGCAATTCTTGTTACTTTCTGCCTTATTTCTTTATAATTTTTTCTAGATTAGTAACTAATACTGGTTTTATTGTCTTTCTAAATGTTAGATTGAGGTTTGCTGTAGAAAATAAAATTGCTATCAATCAACTTTTTTTTTTAACCTACTATTTGATTTCATTAGTGTGCTTGCATGTAAGTCTCCAGGTTATAATCCACTCACTCTGTTTCTGTTAGGCATGTCTGCCACAAATCATGGTGAAACTCAGTGTAACCCATTGGCTTTTCTGTTGTGGATTTACATCACTGCAATAAGCATAATTCCTAAATAACTTGTTTACTGGATGAATATAGTAATTTTATCCTCATCATGGTGTTTTCAGTTCAAAAATTCTTGAAGTATTTTAAGACCTATGTGAAGTAAGTAAGAATCATTGTTACAAGCTACATTCAGACAAGTAAATAGGAGCAAGCAATGGAATCCTCTGCATTGCTGTATCAAAGGAGGAGCAAATTTTGACTGAGAACCATAGTTAAACTCTGAAATTTTCAGGAAAGAGCTGACAGGATCTAATTTACTAACAGCTATTCTGTCTGTCTTCTTTCCTCGAATGTGGAGATAATTGATCACAGTCATTCAGTTTTCTCTGGAAATATAAGGAGCTGAGATTTGAACACATTGTTCTTCGGAGTGGAGGGAATTGCTGTCTTCTGGAGAGCCTGGATTCAATAAGATTGCTTAAACTATTAACAGCACTTCTTGAATTGGTTAGATAGGCAGAAATGAATTAAAAAAAAATACAAAACTCCATCCTCTGCTTCTCATTTAAATTTCAAGTTGGATAGAAAGAGGTGGCTGCACTTCTTACTTGGCTCTAATTGCAACACGGGTTCTCAGAAAAACGAGTTTGAGATTGTCCTTTTTAACTCTTACCTTGTGAAATCTGTTTTTGGTTTTGTGCTCGTTGATTTTAGGCTGTGCCTAGTTGAACAAAAAATATGAAGCTTCCATTTGGTGTTGTTATAGAATTTCTATTAAGAAAAACATGCTTTGCAATTTTTCCTTTCTGATTTTCTTACTTAGTTTTATAAAATCTCTTTGTAAGTTATAAAAGCCTAGGATATGGAAAAGATGATTGACTTGGCTAATGAGTGCTGGTTTGATATAAGCATAATGAATGCTAGAATTCTGTACGTTGTTTTCTTAAACAAAAAAGAATCCTTACAGAACAGGATATATTCATCTGATCAACTTCTGTGAAGTTCTTGGGTTTTTTTGTTTGTTTGTTTTACCTCTGCAATGCCCCCTTCAGAAATGCATCTGTGAACACTGTAACTGATACTGACTTTAAAAGGGATTCTGGATGAACCATCTGGAACGGCCTCAGTGTTACTCACTGAGCTGCAAATCAGGAGAAAATGAAGATCAGTTGTAAGTCAGGAGAAAATTAAATGTGAAGTTATCCATAGTAATTCGTAGTCCTCACTGAAGGGGAAAAATCGTATTTGAGAGATGTTTTATTCTTGTGGGATAAGCCAGTCATAATTTCCTTTTCTTTTACCCCAGGTTTTTATTTTGAATGCATTGAATATTAAGCTAAATTGTGCTGTTTCACTGTCAGCAGTCCCCTGCAAGGATGGTTGGTAGTGGTTTTATTCCCACATCAAAAATATTCCTAACAATGTGCCCAGAACTCTAGCCTGAATATTTCCATCTGCATGGGGTTTAAAGCTCTGTAAATAAATAGACATACCTGAAAGAATAAATTTAGTTTAGCTTCTGTGTCAGTGTATGCACGTACATGTGTGTATGTATCCCTTATGCACACTTATGATGGAAAATGAGCAAGTTTTCTATGCTGTTGTTGTACAGAACTTGATTGTCCCGTATTACTGTTGAGAAATGCTGATATGTATGCATTGATGTTAATTCTTAGTGAATAAACACATTCTCAACAGGAGCTGCCCATCAAAATCTGCAAGCAAAATATAGTTGTAGTATGATAGGAGTTGGTGTGAAGCTTTGTCAGCTTACTTTGTGCATATATAATGAAGTCCTGTGAAGATTTAGGGTAGACTATGGACCATCCACAGTCTGCTACACGGCCTGCTGCCTGGGGTAGCAAGCAGCAGAGTTCTACATAGCCACACAGCTTAGGTTGAAATCTCTCTCATGTGTTTGATGCCTACTGGGAGCTGTTTATTACAGTAATAACTGTTCAGAATATTAAAATTCATATTTAATCTGTACAGCTACAGAACAGTATTAGACAGTAAAAATTGTAATAATGGGAATATAATGCTTGAATGAGCAGTTATCATCAAAATGAAATTGAATGGTGTAGTTCAGTAAGAAGGGACCAACAAAGATCTTCGAATCCAACTGCCTGATCACTTCAGAGCTAACCAAGTTAAAGCATATTGTTGGAGTATAAGGCATATGCAAAGAGTCTAGATTGTTCTACCATGAACGAAACAAATCAGAATACAGATTTCTTCACTTATTTTGAATGAACTGTAAGTAGCGTATGATATTATAGGTGATGGCTCTATTTTCCTAATGTTATCCAAGTTCTAATTTTTCACTTCCCAAATTTTCTGGCTTCAGCCAAACTATTCTGGGTGAAATCTTGAATTCTAGATATAATAAGCCTTTGGATTATTGTCTCTGTAAAATTACAGCTGAAGTGGTTCAAGTATTTCCAGGAATGAGGATATTACAAAGACGCTTCTTCATGCTAAGAGTTTCCTAGAATCTAGAGTTTCTGAAAGTCTGTAACTATCTTATTTGAGCAGAGCAGCTGTGCCATGTTGTACTGTGTGATATTATGAACATAGAAGGACTCTAAGAAAATGTGTGCAGACAATCAGTTCTTGGATTCGGATGTTTTCAATGTCAGTTTTGTGAGTTTGTTTAGTTGTTGCCATGTGGGTGCACAGCAATTAACAGCACTATTTGTCTCATTTTGCCTTAGATTATTGGTTGCCAAGTCAGAAGAGAGCCACCAGAGTCTACTGAACGGTACACACGTTGGATCAATAGTCTGACTGAAGAGCAACTTCTTACACAGGTATTCTTTTTTCAGGGGTAACTGAAATGATGACTGAAAAATATAGCGAAAGGTTTATTTAGTTAGCTTTTCATTCAGTGGCAATACATGATAACTTCCCCAGGTCATCAGGATTTTATAACAAATAACAGAAGTTTGTGGTGCGCGTGATCGTTATGTAATGATACCTTTACACTGAGCTATGATACTGACTGCTTTATCTGTTTGAATTTTACTGGAGATCATTTTAAAATACTGTTCATTACACATGTTTTTAAGTAAGATACGTTTACAGGACTGAAGATGACAGTTCTGGCATGAAGATAGGTTGTTTTGTTAGGCAGGCAGCCAGTGCTGAGCTAGAAGAGACTTTGGCAAAAACAAGTTGAATTGTGGAAGAAATCAATCCAGCCTGTGGAGGAATGTGTGTGCTGAATATTATTATAAGAAATCTAATGGAGAGTTAGCAGAAAGCATCCCAGCAGACATTATGATTCAAGTATTTATGATTGGGTTTTGTGATGCTATGGTAGGAAAACATTTGCTTTTGATTTTCTTGGATTTAAGTGCTTGAAAATACTAACATACCCATGTTTGTTGGACTTCATTGCTGCATTTCCCATTACCATAACCCCCAAAAATATACTTACAGGCTCTGGGATGGTCACTGTAACACAAGAAAGTCATCTGTAGGCTTATTTTAAAACCAGCAGTAGTGTTATGGTTCTCTGTAATTTACCAAATGAAAGCAGTTATAGAGAACATTACCCAGTGGAATGAATATTTGGATTCTCCTTTGAGTATGACATTAGAAAAAATTATAGTTTTAAAACCATGAGTTTATCTGACAGTGATATCTGGATATGCAGTAATAGCACACAACTACGTTGTTAAAGGAAAGACAAAGGAAAGCTTGAGGATGCAGTGTAAAAGTTTGTCCTACATCATCTGCTGTTTTTTATCTGTCTTGAAGTGGTCACTCGATGGAGCCTTTCACAAATTAAACTGGAAAGCAAAGGAAATATCCTAATTTTGAGATTCCTTTGGGTGTGAAAAATGAACACTCATTTTAAGACAGGGCTACAAATTTTCCAGAAGAGCTTATGTAGTGTTGTTTTCCTGACAGTAGGATGCAAACACAGTGACCTGGGTAATCCGATGCAATCTTATGTGTCTATAAATATATCTCCCAGCCTTAATCAAATAGCAATCCATTGTTTTTAAATATGATTTAAATTCACACATTTTACAACTTGATAAGGAGTTCTGGAAAACATATTGGGACTGGATCTAGAAGTCTGCATAATAAAGCTTGTGCTTCTTTTTGATGGGTTTCTAAAGAAGATGAGATTTGTGCAGTTGCACTACTTGTGTTCCTCTTTTGGGTTTGAAGACGTTACCTGTTCTATACAAAAAGTAACCCAGAAATAGTAGTTCCTCAAACATATCAAGTTTCTGAAAAATCTGTGGAAGTGTAAAGCTAGAAGGCACTGTACTGCACCAGCTGCAAATTGTATGTCATTAAGAACAACAGAATCCACTTGGGCAGAGATTTGAGTGCCCAATCATGAGACAAGCTTCAGCTGCAACCCACAATCAACTGGGAGACAAGTCTGTATGAAGCCTGGCTTTTGTAGCTCTGCTGTGAGAAGAATGGATTGATTTGAGAGCAGTGCATTTTGATATGCATCACTTCTGCCTCAGTAACCATTTTTCTGATCAGAAGTTCAGGTAGGGAGGCAATTATTTTGTTTTTTCTTGATTTGATGAAGTACAGATATGAGACAAAACTCTTTCAGCTGTTCTCTAATAGTTGTGATGCGAGTGAGCTGTATAAGGTTAGGCCTGTGAGGGGGTTGTCCCCTTTGTCCTCCTGATATACTGATGTGTTTTATTTTGGGTGTACTTCTAAAAACTTTCTTATTTCTTTCAGGAGATAAGTCCTAAGAAAACTATAATGATAGGCCTCTGCTAAGAGATTTGTCAAATACAGGGGAGGAGCAGTCCTTCAGGGAATTCAGGAAAATTGGCTTTAATTTACAGCATACTGTCTCCAGCAGTTTCCTGTAGTGAAAGAATGTTCAGCTTTTTCTAGCTGTCTCTGTACTCAGTACTCAGCTTTTCCCCCACTTTGGCGTTTCTGTATCACACACGTGCTCGTTATTTATGCTGTGAACTGGGGCAGTGAGTGACCAATAAAAAAAAAGTTGACAATGTTGCATAATCTGCTCTCATAATATTTGGTATTAATCAAATAACGTTCTATAGCATTTGATGACTTCAGTTGCTGTTTGCTAAAGCGCAGTTTGAAAGAGGTGGGTGGCAGCAGATGTTTTGTTAGGTGGTTGCATTGCTTCATGAGCCTCAGTGCTCTGCTGGTTTTATATTGCCTGAGTCAATACCAGATTTTTGGATCGAATGTCCATACCCTGTCTTCATGCTGAGATCATTCAATACAAAATGCTTCTAGCATTTTAACTTTTCCCTTCCCTTAACCATGGCCTCTTGATGCTTGCTCATCCATTAAATGTTTCTCTAAACAATTATACTGTAACATTCCAAAGATACTCTATGGTATGCGTGAAATTTCAGAATATATACCCCAGAGATTGAGGGGGAGTGAAAGAATACAAAGAGAGCATACTGATGTGAAGACTACTTTTTAAAAGAGCTTTGTTTAAGGTTATCTTCTTTATAGATTATGAGCGATAAAACATTGTTTTGTACGTGTAGTAATGTAAGCATTAAAATACACCCCCCAAAAAGATTTAAACTTGTCATGTGTGAGCATGGTGACAGGTACAGAAAGAAAATAAGCAAATAAATGTGGATACCTGACTGTTCTGATGTTGGGATGAGTGGACAAAATGCAGATTAAAACTAATCTGAAAGGATGTCAGAGTTTGAGTTGTGCTTGAACTGTGATTGAAGTTTGATCATGCAGCTCTTTTTAAGCTGGAAATTTTACTGTACTGGATAAGTGAAAATTCCTAAATGGTTTTAAAGGTTGGATTAATTACACAAGCATTTATACAAGTAGTTCTTAAGGGTTGTTGTGGGCTGTAAGTAACATAGCCGAGTTCACATCCATGTCTGTTAGATGACTGTTTAGGTTAGTTTAATCTCACAGGCAGTCTGTGAAGTATTGCATTCAGCCTGAAGTGCCATTCCATCTGACCTGCCATTTTTTATCCTCAAGACAATGAGCCTCTCTGCTTTCAGATCATTGTTCCTTTAGAAAGCAGCCTGTGAAATCAGAGGGGTGTGTGTGGAGGTGCTTGTCAATAGGAGTGGGCTCCCTGCTTGGTGAGAGAGGACACCATAATTTAGAGAAATAACCATCTAAACAGAGCACTGTGATCCTGTATGCCTGTTGCCCACCATAATGTGTCTGTGCTGCTCCCGGATAGGTGGGGTACTTATCTTAGAGCTCTTTGTGTAGGACAGATCTGGAAGCTTTCACAGGTGACTTCTTACCTCTAATCTCTTTGCTACCTGACCAAAGAACAGCATTTAACATGTAAGAGTCCTGTAATATTCTTTTTTCTTCGCTGTTAGAGCTGCCACTTTTAGCTAATAGGTTTAAATGCTGGCTTCTCTGAATAGGCTGTGTTCCCATTCTAGTATTTTAGGTAACGTGAGGTCAAATTTCACACTACGAATCAGAATTTACTATAGATACTTGTTTTGGAAATAGATCCAGCATTCTGTCTGCGTGGAGCATGTAAGAAGTTTTTCCCAATAATATAAATTCAATATTGCATTGTCTTGGTGCATCCTTATAGGCAACTTCTTCCTGTTTGCAAGGAGAGAGGGCAGTCAGCTGGGCTGAGGAGGGCAGAAGAAGCTCATGCACCTTATGGCTCCTACTGGCTCCCTTTCTTAAAGGCAGACCAGGAAGAAGAGTTAGGTGCTTCCTGCCTTTCTCGGGAGGCAGGCGGGTGTGGAGGTGTGCTCTGTGATCTGCTTACAGAAAGCCCAATGTGGAGGGAAGGAGCTGCACTACCTGAAGAAGTTCTGCAGCCTAATGGAAGCTGGCACTGCTGGACCAGCTCTGTTGGTCTGCTGCGCAGTGCCAGAGGCAGGCAGACCTGGTAAGAGAGGATTGGAGGAGGGATGCATTTTCCAGGTGGGCCATAAGTTGAGTATCTCTGGCTTGGAGTGTTTGTTTTCTTCACCTGTAGACCAGAAATTCTGACTTTGCAAGTGCTAGGCTTGGTTGTCAGTACACCAGAACTGAAATAATGATTGAGATAGCAATCCGAGTGGCTATGTGCATCTTTTCCAGTTACATTACTGAAGGGTGAAGCTGGACGAGGGGTAAGACTTTCTTAAGAATGAATAAAAACATGAAAAGGCTGATTGATTTCCCTCCCCACCTCTGCTCCAGCATTTATTTTTAGATCACTTGCATTTTTTTGGTCTTTTGATCAAAAGACACTCAATGCTTTCTTGAGTGTCTTTATTTTTTTTTTTTTTTTCTCCTTTTTTTTGGTCACATTTTCCTCTGCCTTCACCTGTGTTACCAAAAAATGTGGTACTTGGTACAGTGAAGTCCCAATGATTTTCTGAGCAATACGACCAGAGTTATAAAACAGTTAAATACTGCAGGCTGTGTTGGTTTGCATGGGATTAAGGATATAGCATACAAGGAAAAAAAAAAAAAATTGGCCTCTTCCTTTTGTGGTTGATCCCTTTTCCTCTCTGGAGGAGAATGAAACAAGGTTGCACAAGCTACTCAGTGTTTATGTTGGTGTTTGGAAATGCTTGTCAAAGGCGTTCGTGGAGTTCTAGAAAGTTTAATAAGAAGTGCCTTACCCACATCTGTGGACTGAAAGCACCATTAGAACTTCCTAGCGAGGCTTTATGTGAAGGCATCTCAGGGTCAAATGTTTTTGAACTTTCAGAAACAGATTTGCAGTAGTGCAAAACCGTGTACAGATTTTGTGTGTTAGTGATTTTGCATGAGTTTAAAGGCATGCTGTAAAGGAGAGAGTGTTAAATAACTTAGATTTTTCTTA